AGCCTGCCCCACGCTGCATCCCGGCGCTGCAGAACTGCTGAAGCTGGAGTGCAGCTTTGGGGACGCGCAGCCGTACCGGTAGGTGATGCATTCCGCACAGCACAACCTCACCAACGCCAGCATTGCAACGCAGCACGCGTGGCGCAGCGGCGCAGATCCCAATGCGGGTCCCTCAGCGAGCCCCCACCACCGCCAAATGTCACCCACGTTTGTCCCACAGCGCCACCAACCCGAGCTGCGCTTTGCCCTTACCGGAGTACTGCGCTCCGCACGGCCGCCTCAACCTCACCTCCCATCTGCACGGCCGGCAGGGCTGCCGATGGCTGCAGCCCCGCATCTGTGCATCGTACGGTGAGCGCCGCAGCTGCGGGGGGGGTCCCCAACCCCACCCCCGTAATCAACCCGCCCCCCCACCCATTCCTTTGTAGGAATTCCCCCTCAGGATGACGCCGTGGGCACCAAAACGCTCAGCGTGGAGGCCGTCGACTCCATCAGCGTGGCGCTGCATGCAGCACCAGGCGGTACGGATACGGATTGAGGGGGTGAGGGGGGGGTCCCCGCTTTGTGCCCCCCACCCCCTGAACGCTCCCCAACGCATCCTGCAGCCCCGCTGCAGCGTGACACAGAGGACGTGGCCGAGGAGCTGACGGAGAGGCTGCGGGCTGCAGGCTGCCGTCCTGCAGCTCTATGGCACGTCTTCCGCCCCGAGGATGCAGCCTGCATTCGGGATTTCTTGCACGGGGCCGCAGGAGGCGCAGCGCCGCAGCCGCCCGCTCCTTACCTGCACGCAGAGCTGCGGCGGCGGCTGCGGGAGGAGCGTGGGGTGAGCTGCCACGCGCTGCTGCAGTGCGTGGGGGATGCGGTGCTGCTCCCTGCCGGAGCACCGTACCAGGTATGGGGGGGTGGGCTACGATGGGTTGTGTGTGTGTTGGGGGGGGGGTCACCTTGGGGAAACTGAGGCACGACCCCGAGTGCTGCTTGCAGGTGCGGAGCCTCGCAGCCACCATCAGCATGCAGCAGAGCTTTCTGTCCCCGGAGAGCGCAGCCCGCATTGGGGACGGCGCCGCCGCCGCCCGTGGGGAGATGCAATGGCTGCAGGGCCAGGTGTGCGGCACTGGGGGGGGAGTGGGGATAAAGGGGGGGGGGGCGCACGGCTTGCTGCTGACCCCACGGGTGTCGTTGCAGGTGGACGGAATGGTGGTGGCTGCGGTGCGGCAGGCCGTGGCGGTGCTGCGGGGCTGCAAGTGATGGAGCCGGGGGTCGCCGCCTGCAACGCTGCTGCGGCTCCTCCTCGCCTGCAATAAAGCGTGGCAGCGCTGCAGCTCCCGCCTGCGTGCAGTGATTGGGGGCTGCGGGGATGGGGGGCGTGCAACGCTGCATGGGGGGCTGCACGGGGGGCAACGGGGGGAAGCGGGATGGAGCGTGCACAGAAGTTGGGCAGCATGCGGTGCGCTGTGCATCACCTGCAGCGCGGGCTGTGCATCACCTGCATGCGTGCCGTGCGTTGCGTCGGACGGGCGGGTGACGCGCTGCACGCAGCGCCCCGTGCGCGTGAGTTACAGCCCCGCCGCGGCCACCGTGCGATCGGAGCCGTGCGGTGCGCGCCGTGCAATTAGAGCCGTGCCCCGGGTTTAATTAGAGCCGCGCAACGCGCTGCCTGTCCCTTTAAGAGCAAGCCCCGCCCCTCAGCCGCGCCGCGGAGCGGCGGAGAAGGCAGCCAATAGGAAGCGGGCTGACGCGGCGAGGCAGCCAATGGGCGGCAGGGGGGGCGGGGCGTGGATGAGCCGGGCCGCGGTGAGTCGGGGGGCGCATGCGCGCGGGGCGCGGGGTCCGCGGGCGTCGTGCGGGCAGCGCTGGGACCCCGCACCGCGCAGCATGCACCGCACCCTGAGCCCCCCCCTGCTGCACCCTGCGGTGCCCTGAGCCCTTCTCTGCTGCATCCCGCAAAGCCCAGCCGCTCCCCCAATGCACCGTGCAATTGCTCAGCGATTCCCCTGCAGCGCCCGGCGCTCCCGCTGCACCCTGCAGCCCAAACCCTGCCCTCCCGCACCCTGCGGCTCCCTTAACCCACCCCCGTAGCGCCCTGCAACCCCTGCGTCCCACCCGTGTTGCACCCCGCAACCCCTGCATCCCGATCCTATTGCACCCCGCAACCCCTGCATCCC